GACGACCCAAAGAAGACCCCCAAGAGGCTTCCAAAGCGCGCAAAAATATTAGTGTACCAAGGTTTTGCATGATTTTGGTAATGCGTTGTTCCTCGGTCTTCTGAGCGTCCGGGAGTGCCTGGGAGGTTCGAAAATTGCACCCAAACCATCGGAATGGGTTTCCGGGCAACCCAAGAAAGCCCCAAGACGGCACAACAGGGTTCCAAGATGGCCTAAGAGAGCCCCATGACGGCCCAAGATGACCCCAAGACACCCTCCGAAGCATTCCAAATCGTGACCCGGTCGTTGAGGGAGACCGCGGTTTGAGGCAGGGTGGCCCGAGGAAGCCCCCAGAGGCCCCCAGAAGACGCCCAGGAGGCCCCCTGAAGGCCTTAAGAAGCCTGAAAAACTTCCGTGAGGCCCCGAGAGGCTCTCCAAGAAGGAGCCTCCGCAACAAGAACTGAGGAGGATGGGGAAGAATTCGCAGGGTAGGGAGAGAATGAGGAAAAAGAGACATGGAGGAAGGATAACGCACCACAGTATTATAACGGCGATGCCGGAAAAGGCAAGAAGGAGTTATTGCTAATTGTTTGTACTTGTTTGGTGGACCATCTTGCCATTCCGCCTGCATGCCCATTTTCAAGGACGGACCAAGGTGCATGGCGCGAAGCGCCAATGCAATGTTGTACATATATACATATATACCTATACGACCACCCTACGGGTGATAAGGAGTTCGGGGGGGCAGCAATGGGCAACAGTGGTGACTGTTACTATGACAATGACTGTGGTGCGCAGTCTAGTGAGTAGTGTGATTGTGATCGTGAGCGTGATATGATGTGCCGATGTTGACGAAGCTCACTCGACATTTTCGTGAAGCGCTGCCCCCGCGTGCGCTTATCAATCGCGCGAACCTCACTTCAGCGCTAGTCGACGTGGTCGAACGTGCGTGCTGCGGTATGCCGGTTTTGCTTGGGCACATGGCTGCGGTCCGACAGCGACAACGGCTGCACAGCATACAGTACGGCATGACGATGTGCCTTTCGATTTGCATTTGGATGTGTATGTCGATGTGCTTTTCGGTTTGCATCTCGATTTGCATGTCGACATATCCATGGGCATGTCGATTTGCTCTTCGATATTCATCTCGAATTGCATGTCGACTTGCATTGGAAAGCTCGCCGCAGGCGCCGACTTTTAAGTACGCAACCCACGGCGCCTTACGATTTGCATTTGGATGTGCATGTCGATTTGCATTTCGATGTGCTTTTCGGTTTGTGGGTCGGTTTGCATGTAGAGTTTCATTGGATAGCTCGCCGCAGCCACGGCGGGACACCAGCGGGACACCGCGGGGCACCGTTTGCCGGGTGGAGAGACTTTTGGTCCGGCCGCGGCCCAGCGACAGGAGGATTTCGGGACACCAGTGGGACACCGGCAGGACACCGCGGGCCACCGGCCGCCGGAGGACAAACATTTGGTCCGGCCGCGGCCCAGCCACAGGAGGATTTCGGGACACCAGTGGGACACCGGCGGGACACCGTGGGACATCGACCGCCGGAGGAGAAACAATTAGTCTGGCCGCGGCCCAGCCACAGGAGGATTTCTTCTCGCCCGCCCACGCAGCTTCGCCTCGCCCGCACGCGCGCACGGCACGCACGACACGAACCCGAAACCGAAATCGATTTCCAGGTAGAGGGGGTCTCCGTTTCACGTCAGACTCACCCCGCAACCTCCGATATAGAGGTAGAGAGAGAAAGAGAGAGAGAGAGAAAGAAAGAAAAAAAAAAGGAGGAGTGAGGAGGAAGGAAGAGGAGTATGAGGAAACGGAATCGGCAAAGGGCGACCTGGAGTCGGGCTTCGGAGGAGCACTTGTGACAATCCTGAGTTGGTTGGGGGTCTGTTGTTTTTCAGGGTTGCAGCAGCCTTGCCCACATCGGATCTCCCCACCGACGAAGGCGGTGGGGGGGGATCTCGATCTCGGAGGGCAACCTTCCCCACATCGGGTCCCCCCACCGACGGAGGCGGGGGCGGGAGATTGAGGCTGGAGGAGGAGAAGGTACCGCTACCTCCGCCCGCCCCTCGTCGAGGCGGTCGGATTCGTTGCGATATTCTGGTCAAAGCGCACCTCTGCAGGTGTCTGAGGAGCAGCGGTGTCCGTATCTTCGTGCTCCCCAGCGAGGGGCGGGGTCGGGCGCCCAAGGCGATGCTCACAGGGCTGCTGGGGCCGAGCACGTCATGGCCACCGTGCCCCCTGCGCACAGGATGCGAAGGCCCCTCAGCCGAAGCCCTTGGTGATGAAATACGTAGCACCCCGCAGTTGCGGATAATATCAGGCGATCGCAAACATGGATCAAGGGGGCGTGGATTAGCGGCGGGTCCCGTTTCCCTGGGAAATCGCGGATCTCCGCCGCCGAACGGGGCGGCACTGGCTGCATTTTGGGGAGGGTGCCTCCCTCGGTCCATGGATTAGGCGACCGCGCGCCTAATCCATGGATCGCTAATCCATGTTTGCGCACCCCCGATATAAGAGTGAGGGGGCGCGAGGACGTCGGCAGTCTGCGAGGCTCTGAACAAACCCGCCGGCGCCCAACTTCTACAAATGATGCACCGGGCCCGCCGCGGGCGCCGATTTATTCGTTAAAGCAATGTGGATGAGTCGCAGGGCGGGTCGCGGGTGGGTCTCAGGTGGGTCTCGGACCGGGTCCCAGGTGGGTCGCAGCTGGGTCGCGGGTGGGTCGCGGGTGGGTCGCGGGCGGGTCGCGGGCCAGGTCGCGGGTGGGTCGCGGGGTGGGTCGCGGATGGGTCGCGTGTGGGTCGCAGTTGGGTCGCGGGCGGGTCGCGGGCCGGGTCGCGGGCCGGGTCGCGGAGCGGACGAGAACACCACCACCACCAACAACATCAAGAACACCAACGACACCAACGACAACAACAATAATAATAATAATTTTAAGACTGATCGCCCTTATATGCTCGAGTGTCCAATAACGCGTATTTCCCAAACCCTCGGCCTGGCCAGCGGCAGCGCTGATCGGCGGGGCGGCCGCGGACCGTCGACCCGACCCCAAGAGGGACGGACAGGGGACCGACCACGACGACGACGACGACGACGACGATGACCACGACGATGACGACGACGACGTCGTCGACGACGGCGACGACGACGACGGCGACGACGAGCGAAAGCGAGAGCGAAAGAGAACGACAGCAGGGCCACGAAGGGCACGAAGTAGGCCACGAAGGGCGACAGCGGGGACACGAAGGGAATGCGTATGGGGCCACGAAGAGCGCGAACGAGCGGGGGCCACGAAGTACAGATAATGCGGGGCCACAGAAGGCAACTAAGGGGCCACTGAGGGTAGCAACTGGGCCACGTAGGACAGTGAGGGGGACATAAATGGCGACAGCGGGGCCACGAAGGGCATGCACATGGGGCCACAACGGGCGCGACTCCTGGGTGCCTGGGTGTCGGGAGCGCGGCGCTTGGGCAAACTGCAGGAAATGCCAACGCAAAGCCATTCTTCAGTAAGTTGCAAGCAAGTCTCCAGCGAGAGCGCAATTCCAGGGCGCCGGGAGAGCGATTCCATAATAAATTGTAAGGAAGTCCCAAGCGAGAGCGCGATTCCTGAATAGAATGCGAGGAAGCCTCGGGCGGGAGCGGGGGTCCTAGCTAAATTGTAAGGAAGTATCCGGCGGGAGCCGTTGTTGTTGTTGTTGTTGTTGTTGTTGTTGTTGTTGTTGTTGTTGTTGTTGTTGTAACCCGGAGGCCAGGGGCCTAGTTTGAGCAGGAAGATTTTCCCTGTCAGAAAACAGGGTGCGAGCGTCGAGGGGCACACTTTGATTGAGAAAAAACAGCATGCACCGGTGGGGGAGGGGATCAACAATAATTATTTTTCAGAAATGAGAATTCAACAACGATTACAACATCAACAACGACGACAATTCGAACAATCCGCACAGCAGAACCTCCCCTCGGCAACGCGCCCAGCGACGGTGAATGACTGTTCGGCCCCTCACTCTGACGTGCGTGCATCCCGCTCTCCGTTGGGCGGGAAGAGGGCAGGGAGAGTAAGGCGAGGGCGGACTGGAGTCTGGGGGAGGGGGGCGGCGGAAGAGCATCGAATTCCGAGGGGAGCAGGGGAGGGGCGAGGCGCAGGGAGCACGGCGAGGGGATACGACCCGCGGGCGGGACGTGGGGCCTTTCGTCCCAGGCCTCCCAGGTGGGACCAGAGTCTCAGGCGATCGCAAACATGGATCAAGGGGGCGTGGATTAGCGGCGGGTCCAATTTCCCTGGGAAATCGCGGATTTCCGCCGCCGAGCGAAGCGGCAGCGGCCGCATTTTGGGGAGGGCGCCTCCCCCGATCCATGGATTTGGCGACCGCGCGCCAATCCATGGATCGCTAATCCATGTTTGCGCGTCCCCGGGAGTCTGCTGGGGTCGGAGGATCGCGCCGCATCGCCGATGCGCCGCCGATGCCGATGCGGGGCGATCAGGAGGTCTGGTTTCCTGTGTCCCGACGTCGGCGGGGCAGTGGCGATGCCTCGGCGGCGCGGGGCGGCGCCATCCTCGGCTACACGTGAGGCTCACCCTTCGCCTGAGTGACCTTTGGTGCACGGCTTTTGGGGGGCACGAAAAGACCAAAGCCCAGCGCACAGGCCGTTATTGTCGCACCGCATGCAGCGATCGGCGAGCCACGCACCGAAGGCCACTCTTGCCTCGGGCCGCTCTTGACGTGTAGCCGACATCCTCGGGCCCCATCTGCTCGAAGCCCGAGGTTGCTAGTCAAACGTGCCCCCCGCCCAAGATGCCGCCAGCTTTTAGCTCGATTTTCGAACCTCTAGGGCCCTCTGGCTGGGCCCTCGTGAGGGGTGCTCTGGAGGCATGAGGGCCTTGGAAATCCTGGGGGCACCTCGGACCAGGGGCACTTCTAGCAACACCTGGCTGGGGGAGGAGGGCTGCTCTCGCCCGTCCCGCTTCTGGGCCCGCGCGCCTTCCTGTCGCCTCCGGGGGTCGGCGCCCCAGGACGGCTCCATTTGCTTTGCGGCGGCAGGCCCCGACACGAGGAGCCGCTGCGTCCCCCCAAGTTTTATTAGGAGGGGGAGGAGGAGGACGAGGAGGAGGAGGAGGAGGAGGAGGAGGAGGAGGAGGAGGAGGAGGAGGAGGGGGGAGGGGGAGGGGAGCGGGAGGGGGAGGGGGAGCGGGGGGGGGAGGGGAGTGGGAGGGGGAGTGGGAGGGGGAGCGGGAGGGGAGCGGGGGGGGGGGAGTGGGAGGGGGAGTGGGGAGGGGAGGAGAGGGGAGGGGGAGGAAGGAGGGGAGGGGGAGGGGAAGGCAGAGGGGGAGGGGGGGGGCACAAAGCTAGGGGCGCTCACGTCATATCTGACGTCCTACCTCTTCCTCCCATCCCTTACCATGGCATAGATCTTCTCTCTATTCGCATAATCGAATGTCGTAGCATGCCATAGCATTACATGGCATAGCATGGTGTCGAAGATCAACGCGTAGCATGACAGCATGGCGTGGTGACGCCCCAAGGTGGGGGGGGGCTTCTGCGGCCCGCACCTTGGGGCGGAGGAGGAGGAGGAGGAGGAGGAGGAGGAGGAGGAGGAGGAGGGAGAGGAGGAGGAGGAGGAGGAGGAGGAGGAGAACGAGAAGGATACCGAGAAGGATAACGAGTAGGCGAACGAGGAGAAGAACGAGGATAAGAACGAGGAAGAACACGAGGAGGATAACGAGGAGGAACACGAGGAGGAGAACGAGGATGAAAACGAGGAGGATAACGAGGAGGAGAACGAAGAGGAGAACGAGGAGGAGAACAAGGAGGATAACGAGGAAAACAACGAGGAGGAGAACGAGGAGGACGAAGAGGAGGACGAGGACGACGATGACCACGACGACGGCGATGACGACGCCGAGGAGGAGGAGGAGAGGAGAGGAGGAGGAGGAGGAGGAGGAGGAGGAGGAGGAGGAGGGAGGAATTCACAAAGCCATTCACATGCGTCTGCATGGTGATGCTGGCCTATGCAGGCGGGCGTGTAAGGTGTGAGAGCTAGTCGTGAGAGCGTGGCAATCAAGTGGGCTGTGGCGTGTCCGAGATGTACCGCCAGGAGTGAATTCAAATGCGCCCGTCTGTTAGGAGGCAACCCAGTCATCACCAAAAAGAACAGCGAGACAGGGAAAAACACTTGGTGGCTGGCCATGTGGCGTCTAGACTCACTGGGATCGGTGGCTGTGGCGAGCGGCTTGTGAATTCTGTAGCCTCGCTATAATGAGCTACTCCAGTGATAGAGGGCCTCGTACATCTTGGAATGGTTCCTTGCTGTTGTGTAGAAGATGCCGTGCGCAAAGCAGTCGCTGGGGTGGACGTACGTAGGCGTGAACTGACCTGATTCGCTCAGTTACGTACGCTGATGATGCCGTTGCTGTGGCACGTAATGCGAAGGCAAGAGTTGAACGTTGAACACGTCGTCTTGGATATGTTGTGTGGTGGGTGTCTTGATGACGGAGAAGTGAGTGCCGATGTCTATGGGGACTGGTCGTGGTCCATTGGGAGCCTTGCTTCGTTGGCGCTTCGCGTGCTCTCGGATTGGCAGCGCCAGTGGTGCAGCATGGGCCACCAGGCAGGCTCACGCGTGGGCGGAAGGACGCCTGTGCCCATGGCTGTGTGGGAGTCGGTCGTGGTTCCAGTAACAAGCGCTGCGCCGCATCATCGACCGCTATTTCGCATTTAGTGTGCAATGACCAGTGATTTTGTGGATTCGCCGCGCTGACCACGGCCCAGACCTCTGCGGGGCAGTGGCTCCCACATTGGGTCCGCGCGGGTGCTGCCTGGTGCCAGCGCGCCATCTCTCGGACGTTCGCAGTTTTTGCGGCGAGGCCAGCGCGAGAGAATCTGCACCAGCCTGGAGCATCTCGGGCCACCTTGAGAACGAAAGCGCGCACGAAGCCAAGCAGTGCACGCAGAATTGGCATCCTGGCGATGGCAAGGACGCGGAGCCACTCCACGCCACTCCACGGAGCGCTGGGGCGGGTGCTGGCCCGGGGCTGGGTCGTCCGCCTCCCGGTCAGGAGCGTCGGAGGCGGCGCGCCGCACGCGTGGCACCGTGGACTCGGCGGGCAAACGGCGCGACGGGTGCGGCATGCCGTGCCGCCCTGGCTTCAGAGGCCAACAACATGTGCGTACGTACGCGGTTAGCTTCGTTTGGCCTGCGTTTGAACGCGGTCATTAAAGCACGCGGGACCGCGGCGGGCGCACATCGCTCGCTCACGTCGACGGGTGTGAGCACTGGTAGGGAGAGCGCGTGGTGCGAAAATCTTGGGGTGTCGTAGTCGGTCCCAGACGGTCGGCGAGAACGAGAGCCATGGCTTGGAAGAGAGCCCGTCGTCAGGAGGACGCTGGTAGCGCATGCGTTCAGTCATGCGCAGCTGCAGCTGCAGGGCATCCAGCGATCTCTTATGAATGCCGTAATGTGCGGGCGTGACCGTATGGCGTAGTCAACATTCGAGTGAATGTCAATGCCATGCAAGGTGCCCGTCACTGCCGCCGTCAACGAAAATGGCACGTTCAGAGTGTAACAACTCTTCTTGTGGGAGGAGCTGGGAGTAGAGCAGAGCGGCCCTGGCCAGGTTGTGGGACTCAGGCGTGGCATCGCTCAAGTGCATTCGCTTGGCAGCCGTGCAAAAGCTGAGATGATAAACGTGTTGTTGAGCACTATGCGAAGGATGGAGGGATTTGGCGCAACGTTATCCAGGGTATGGGACGGCCGATCATGGAGTAGGATGCTGAGAACCAGAGAGTCCTGAAGGAAACTGTTAAGGTTGCAGGGGATGTTGTAGTGGTGACCATGGCGACGCGGAGCTTGGCAAGGAAGAGCGTAATGATGGCCATATGGTGATTTTACCATCACGGGTCCGCGTGTGATGCGAACATCAGCTCCGTTAAAATGCTCACGACTCCTTCGGACGAGTCCTACCGATTCAGGATCGCGTTGCGTGCTTCGTTTCCTCCAAACAAGGTGCCCTGCGCATGTGTTTGGAATTGTGCGTCTGAGTGGTTTCCAGAGGGCCCTTCGGGAACCTTTGTTGGTTCTTTTGGGTTGGTTATGTTGGGTCCTAGGGGGCTCGTGGAATGTCCAGGATGCAGTTTGGGAGCCCCGAGGGCTTCCTGGGCCATCTTGAGGGCTCTTGGGAAGTTTTGCAGCCGCCTGAGCTCTGCGTTGGGCTGTCACAGGGTTGCTTTCGGATGTTTTAGACGTCCTGAGGGCGTCTGAGGCGACCCCGGGGCAGTCCAGCTGCGCGTCAGGGACATGCGGGCGACCTTCTAGAAACCCTTTTGCGGTAAGGTGGATGCGAGACAAAAGCAATGAATGGTTTGAATGTGTTTTGGTGGTGTTCTTGCATTATTGAAATGAAGAATCGGGTTGTAATTGGCTGAGGGGGTTCGAACGAGCCCTATATTAAAATAATCAGAACCTCGGAAAAAGTTTGGATTAACATTCGGCGGCGAAGAAGTTCCGAAAATATCTGAAGCGTGTGTGAACTTTTCGTGAACTCCCGAATTGGTGTCCAATTCGTTCCGAATTGTTTCCAATTTCCCCTAAGGTCTTACACAGTTTGAAACTTGCTTCGAACATGTTCAATGTGTTTCGATATTTGTGCAAACTCCATTTAAACATGTCATTGTTTTTCCGATCTCTCCCTGAACTTTTGAGCTTCTTTCGAACTCTTGGTTTTCTTGGTTTCCGAACTCGAACTTCTAACTTTCCCCCCGCCGGAGCCCAAGCCCTAACTTTATTTCTTTCCCAGGGAAGCCATCTCTTCCCCCATCTGCCGATTACAAGACTAGCAGGTCGAGGAGGGTCAGTCGTGAGTTTCGTTGGGCGCAGATCCGGACCGCAGGAGGGTCTCGGGTAGATCTTCGGAGGTCCGTCAGCGATGATGGGAGGTCGAGACAGCGATTGATTATGAGTCTTGGCCAAGTCCCTCCCTCTTCGCTCTTCGTCCTCCTCCGGGAGCCCTGGCGGAAAAATAGGCAGTCTTCTCCCCGGTTCTTTTGATTCGTCCATGCTTATCCATAGCTTTCCAGCAGTGTTCGCGGCCAGGACGTCCACGATCTGCATATTCCTGGCGGCCTTCGACGAGCTTGGCAGGAGAGCGGTCGTAATGGTACGCCGCCGTTGGGATGCCGTTAGCGTGTTACTCCTTCGGTGCGTGCGACAGCCTGGGGTTTCTCCAGTAGTGACACGCTGATGGGTACCCCACGGTCGCGTGGCATTGATGCTGTTGTTGCTCCCTCGGAGATGCAAAAGGGGCCGGAGGAGGAGGAGGCCGTTGCAAGCCCAGCTGCTAGGAGCATTGCGGCAGGCAGTGCAGGGTTCGCTTGCATGGGGGTTTCTTTTGGTAATGTCAGTTTGTGATGAATAAATGATACCCCCACCCCCTCCAAAGGCTGATGAATAGACCCAGCAAGGCGGAAACTATTTTTTGATCGCGCGCGCCAAGGGTTCGTCGCAGGCGCCGCCGAAGGGATTCTGTACACCCCTGCACGGCCAGCTCAAGACGATTGTCCTTTTTCATCATGAAGTTGTATTAGGGATCGTATACGTCCGAGGCGAGGTTTCACCCCTCTCAGGCTGACTACTGACGTGCCACAGTCGTCGTTGTCGGCGTCGTCGTCGTGATCGTCGTGGTCGTCGTCGTCTTAGTGGTCGTCGCCTTCGTCGTCGTCGTCGTCGTGGTTGTCGCCGTCCGCCGTTGTCGTCGTCGTGTTTGCTACAGCGAGCCTTCGCAGCACCCCTCCAGCATGGGCCATTCGCAATGTGTGTCGTCGTCGTCGTCGTCGTCGTCGTCGTCGTCGTCGTCCGCCGCCGCCGCCGCCGCCTCCGTCTTCGTCGTCGTCATCGTCGTCGTCGAGTGCACCGGGCCTGCGCAACGGCAGGCATCCGCAGTGCGTCGTCGTCGTCGTTGTTGTCGTCGTCGTGTTTTCCGTTGCCGTCGCCGCCGTCGTCGTCGTCGCCGCCGTCGTCGACTCCAGCGAGCATTCGCAGCACCCCACCCCCCCTGAGGCATCAGCAGTGCGTCGTCGTCGTCGTCGTCGTCGCCGTTGCCGTTGTCGTTGTCGACGACGGCTACAGCGGGCATGCGCAGCCCCCCACACATGGAGTATCCGCACTGCGTCGTCGTCCGCGTTGCTATGACCGCCGCCGCCGTTGCCGCCACCGCCGCCGCCGTTGCCGCCGTCGTCGTCGTCGTTGTTGTTGTTGTTGTTGTCGTCGGGGGATACATGACAATTCGTAGTGGAGGGTGATTAGCGCCGCCGTGGTGTGTTTCCATTTGGCGGGCGCCCCCCCGCGATTCGCCCGAGCAGGGACACCAGTTTTTCAGCACGCGCGTGCCTCGTTTTTATTAACCACACGCTGACATTACACTGCGCCGTGGGTTCCCCGAGCATTTTTTGCACTGAAAGTGTCTTCGCCGCGTTGGAAAAGAATTGCCACCCGACGCCCGGAATTGCATTCGGTTGGCCATGTCACCGACCGTCCTTCGTTTTGGTGTCCGCCTTCCGTTGCCAGGTATTTCTGTTGGCGGGCCTTGTCTTCGAGTGTCTTTGGGTCGTGTGTCCGCCTCCCGTTGTTTAGAATGTTTTTCAGTCGGCCTTGCCCCGGACCGTCCCTGGTTTGGGCGTTTCCCTGTCATTGTATTTGTTGTTGTTCTTCGGTCGGCCCCGTCGTCGATTGCCCCCTGGCCGTGGTGTCGGCTTCCCGTTGGAGGGGATGATTGACGCTTCGCGTATCCCAGGCAACACATCCAGCAACGATTTCTCAGCGAATTGTCTTGGTCATGGGGCAGTGAACGCGCGCAGTGGCACAAGTGACTATGCAGGCCCATGCCTATGGCATCTTACGGGGAAGCTGGTGGCACTAAGGGCTGGAAGCGCCAGGGACACAGTGGTTGGAGTAAGGAAAATCGCGCCCGCGCGGGCCTTCGGGGGGGAAAAAAACACAAACATACGCACAACAAAACAAAACGGGTGTCCGTGTCCCGACCACAAAAGACAGGCGTTTTGGTAGCCCCAGCGAGCCCCCGGTCGGCCCGACGAAAATCCCCGCGCCAGAAAAGGCGAATACCAACGACGGCGGAGGGGTTGGCCCGATACATGGAGAAAAAAGCGCGTCGGACCACCCCTTGGGGGGCCCGCTCGGGCCGATGAGCAAAGCACAAAAAGGGCTTCCCGAAAGCCAATAAAACGCAAGCGTCGACATGGCCAACATGGGGCCGCGGCCCTCGCCAAAACATAAACACCATCGGGCGCCTCGAAAAAATAAACGCATCTCGGGTCGCGGCCGCGGCCACCCCGCCTGAGCCGCGGACCAAAAAACACAAGGCTTGCACGCAAACAAAAGAAACAGCCCGTCCGTGGAGGCACCACAAATGGCCTGTCCAGGCCGAAATTAAAGGAACAAAACAAGACATCGCCCGAAACCAAAAAGAAAACCTGGCGTGGCGCCGCAAGCGCCCCGCGCAAGCCAACACTGAAAACATATGAAGCTGGAATAAGACAAGGATGTCTTGGAGGAGGAGGAGGAGAAGGAAGGAAGGAAGGAAGGAACACCATAGGATTATTTAGGACATCCATGGGATTCCTTCGGAAAGCCAGAGGATTATTCAGGACATCCATCCGAATCCTTCGGGCATCCATCGCATTCCTTACGAAATCCATCTGATGTTTTGGAAACCCATGGGATTCCGAATGACATTCGTAGAGATCCTTGTGGAATCCATCGGGTTCGTGCGCGATCGGCCCCCGCGAAGAAATGACAAAGTCGTTGGGTTCGCCACCCGGGGCCGCTGCATGGCCGAATTGAAGAAACACCAACAGCCCGCCCAGCGGAACTTATTCCGACGGTAGGGCCCCACATGAGAATATGTTTAACTTCCCTGGGGATCTCCTACCCCCTCCCTTCTCCCACCTACTCCTGGCATCTCCACCTCCTCCTGCCTGCTCCTTGTCCTGCCTCAACCACTGCCTCCTCCTCCTCCTCCTCCTACTCTTACTCCTACTCCTACTCCTACTCCTACTCCTCCTCCTCTTGCCTCCTCCACCACCTCCTCCTGTTCCCTCCTCCTCCTCCTGCTCCTCCTCCTCCTCCGCCTCCTCCTCCTTCCCTCTCCCTCCTCCTCCTTCCCTCTCCCTCCTCCTCCTCTCCCTCTCCCTCCTCCGCCTCCTGCTCCTCGTCTCCATCTTGCTTCGCCTCCTCCTCCTCCTCCTCCGCCTCCTCCTCCTCCTCTTCCTCCTCCTCCTCCTCCTCCTCCTGCATCTTCCTTAGGCCTCCTGCCTCCTTCCGGGGCCTCTTGGGGCCTCCTGGAGCCTTCTGGGCCTCCCTGGACCTCCCGGGGCCTCCTAGGGCATTCTTCCTTCTCCTCCTCCTCCTCCTCCTCCTCCTCCTCCTCCTCTTCCTCCTCCTCCTCCTCATCATCATCATCATCATCTTCGTGTTCCCCCTCTGCCTCCTCCTCTTCCTTCTCTTTTCTCATCCTGCATTTTCCTCCTCATCCTCCTCCTCCTCCTGCTCCTCCTCCTCTTCCTCGTGCGGAACACGACCTAGAGGAAACGCACGACGTGCGTCCCAGCGGCGACGCGCCTGAGGACGACCGAGAGGAAGCGCGCGCCAGAGGAAGACCCGGAGAAAGCACGTGAGGTGCGGGCCCCACAGGGTGGGGGGCTCCCGCCTGAGACTTCCTCGCAGTTCATTAACAGACGAGGCTCTCGCCTCAGACTTCCTCCATATAGGCTTCAGCAGCCCAAAAGTTACGACGACTACTGGAGGCCAATGACCCGCTTCGGATTCGAACATGAAGTGCGGGCGCCATAGAGAGGGGGGTCCCGCCTGAGATTTCCTCGCAATTCACTCACAGACGAGGCCCCCGCCTTATACTTCCTCCACGTTCGGGCCTCAGGAGCCCAAAAGTGACGACGGCTACTACAAGGAGCCGATGACCCGCTTCGGATTCGAACATGAAGCGCGGGCCCCATAGAAAGGGGGGTCCCGCCTGAGACTTCCTTGCAATTCACTCACAGACGAGGCTCCCGCCTTATACTTCCTCCACGTTCGGGCCTCAGGAGCCCAAAAGTGACGACGGCTACTACAAGGGGCCGATGACCCGCTTCGGATTCGAACATGAAGTGCGGGCCCCATAGAGAGGGGGGTCCCGCCTGAGACTTCCTTGCAATTCACTCACAGACGAGGCTCCCGCCTTATACTTCCTCCATATTCAGACTTCAGGAGCCCCAAAGTGACGACAATTACAGGAGACCGATGACCCGCTTCGGATTCGAACATGAAGTGCGGGCGCCATAGAGAGGGGGGTCCCGCCTGAGATTTCCTCGCAATTCACTCACAGACGAGGCTCCCGCCTTATACTTCCTCCACGTTCGGGCCTCAGGAGCCCAAAAGTGACGACGGCTACAAGGGGCCGATGACCCGCCTTGGGTTCGAACATGAAGCGCGGGCCCCATAGGGAGGGGGCTCCCGCCTGAGACTTCCTCGCTCGCAATTCACTCACAGACGAGGTTCCCGCCTGATAGTTCCTCCATATTCAGGCTACAGGAGCCCAAAATGACGACGGCCACAGGAGGCCAATGACCCGCTTCGGATTCGAACATGAAGTGCGGGCCCCATAGAGAAGGGGGTCCCGCCTGAGACTTCCTCGCAATTCACTCACAGACGAGGCCCCCGCCTTATACTTCCTCCACGCTCGGGCCTCAGGAGCCCAAAAGTGACGACGGCTACTACAAGGAGCCGATGACCCGCTTCGGATTCGAACATGAAGTGCGGGCCCCATAGAAAGGGGGTCCCGCCTGAGACTTCCTTGCAATTCACTCACAGACGAGGCTCCCGCCTTATACTTCCTCCACGTTCGGGCCTCAGGAGCCCAAAAGTGACGACGGCTACTACAAGGGGCCGATGACCCGCTTCGGATTCGAACATGAAGTGCGGGCCCCATAGAGAGGGGGGGTCCCGCCTGAGACTTCCTTGCAATTCACTCACAGACGAGGCTCCCGCCTTGTACTTCCTCCATATTCAGACCTCAGGAGCCCCAAAGTGACGACAATTACAGGAGACCGATGACCCGCTTCGGATTCGAACAT